CGGGTGACGGCTGGCCGGTCAGGGGCAGCGGACTGCGTACGCACGCGACTCCGGAGCCAGGAGAGAGGCTGACACCTTGGCTCGAGGGGCTGCCAGGGGACAGAGAGCTTCTCCAGAGTCACAGCCACCCGGAGGGTGACAGATGTGAAACGCTCCTGCTTTCGGGAGCTGCTCCCTCTTCCAGCCCCCGATCAACAAACAGACGAGTAAGTTTTCTCCTCGGCTCGACAGGGCTGATGGCTTCTCTCCACCGTCCGAGCTTTGATGGCACGTGAGGGTGGGATAACTTAGCACCGGCTCTCTGCTCACCCAGCCCAGAAGGACGCGAAGGGGTCCTGCGCGCTCCAGATCTGCTCCTGCCCTGCTGAACGGCAGTGCCTGCAGAGCTGAGGCAGTTGTTCTGCATCTGCCGGACCCGGAGGCAGGAGCTCGCCGTGCACCTGTCTGGGAGGGAGTGAACGTGAGAGATCCTGCATTCCTGGTGCATCCCAGGACTGCTCACAGCTCTCCTTCCCAGCAAACTCGGCTGGGATGAGGACTGCAAAGTGTTTGCTCAGTCTGCAGCGGTAAGTGCAGAGTCTGTTCCAGCCTGTCAGACATAAAGCAGAGATACTAAACGTGTTTCTGAAGTGGGCTCTGGCTCAGGTATTGTACCACTATAAAAGTGACACTTGGGAGCTGAACCTCCAGCAGTGGCACATCCCCTTGGCCCTCTCTACCTTTTTGATGGTGCTGAAGGAAGCTGCCCAGGAATGCTGAGGGACAGAGCCTGCTCTTCACCCCCCAGCCTTTCCTTCTGAATCACCTAGAATTCATTTGCTGTTGAATTTTCCTCCCAGAGGGTAGCAGAGGAAATGCAGTTGCTTGCTAGAGCTGCATTCCCCAGTCTATGTTCCTGAGCACAGTGCAGTCAGGAGGGAGCGTGTGATGCAGTTTGATCTCTGCTACAACACTGCCAGACAATCCTAAGAAGAAATGCCTGACTCAGGGGCGTGTGTAGCTTTGACTTAGAAAGGGTGGCTTTCCAGGAGCTTTTACAGTCCAGGTTTCCAAACCCCAGTGCTTGCTTACATCAGACTGTGACCTTTTCTTCTCTGACAAATTTTGTGCTTGTCTGGATGGTCCTACAAGAAAGATTTCCTGTTGTGATACACGTGGGCCCCTTGGAGTTGCTCCAGCCTCTACGCAAATGCAGCCATTAGCAATTCAGTCCTGCCAGGGGGCCCAGGAGATGCTGAAATGCTGAGTGCCTGGCAGGATTAGGCTCCTGGGACAGGAGCTGTCCCTGATGAAATCTAGATTCTCATCCCAGTTCTGCTGCTGCCTTGCTGTTTGACCTTGAGGTAGGACAGCTTGGATCAGATCCAGCTTACAATGTCTCGCCATTACTTGCATTGTTATTTGACTCTGGTACCTTGTTTTCTATAATCAACAAAACTAAACCCAGCAGCTGCACTGGTTATGGGAAGCTGTTGAGACCTGGCAATAGATGATGTGACAGAAGCCCGAGGTATCATGTATCATCTACAAGTCAGAAAAGCAGGAAGTGGTGTAAATGCCCTCCTTCTACTCTGCCAAGATTTCCTGCTGAAACAAGCAGGCTAGAGAGCATCATCTCTGAAAATTTCAACTGCTCTGTGCTACTCTGTGCCCCCTGAGACCTAACTGGGGCTTGATTTTGTGTTGTTGTTATTACATCTAAAAGCCTGATGGAAGTTCTCTGGCTTGGCCAGCAAGAACTGACACAGGGTCAGTTCTTTATGTGTTATTAACCACAAAAATACAACGTAGTGGAGGTTTGGCTGTCACAGCCTTGACAGTGTATAACAGCTCAGCTGTGATGTCATTGTAGCTCTCAGAGTGGCATTCCATAAAGCCAGGATTCAGGCAGTCCCAAAGTGTTCAGTTTAAAGTGCTGGGCTGATTTATGATGATAAATGGGAACTTATAAATGGAAAGAGACATGGAGAGGAGGCAAGCCACCAACTTAACAATAAAAAGGAATTCAGTGGCCTGATACTCCACTGTCTCTCCACTCAGTTCTGCTTTAGATTTGTCTACCATGTGAAAGGAAATGTTCTTCCAGGACTAGATAAGACTCTCACCAGATTTCTGCTTTGCTAATAACACTGCGAGGAGATTAGCTTCTAGGAGTCTGATAGTTGTTGCTTTACTCAATTTGTTTTTTCCTGGGAAGGTGAACAAGGAACAAAAAAAGATGTGGTGCTGAACAGCACTTCAGACAATGGAGCTGGAAATGTGCACATGCGCAAAAGTTTCTGGGGATCCTAAGCCAGTGGTTACCCCAGTGCTTCCCCACTGTCTGTTGCTGTCTTCTCAACTGGCCCCTAAATCGAGGATAGATGAGATCCTTAAACAATTCATTAGGAATTTCTTCTGTATCATTGGACAGTGAGGCAGCAAGTCTGGGTCAGGGAGGTGAGCTGACATCAGTTGCTCTCCAAAGTATAAATCAGAGCCAGTTTCCAGCTTATTTTTTCTGTTTCCAAGTGACAAATACTCGTGTAGTGTTCACATGGTTGTGAACATTGAAGTGGAGCTTCCTCCTATGCAGCATTTTTAAGGCAGATCTGATAGAACAAAATATGTGGGGTAAATCCTTGGAGTGGGCTCTCTCCAGCCTTCCACCCTCCCACCTTGTGCAAGAGGAATTATTTGTTTTTCAGATGTGGACATGTGAGGTTCAGAGAACTGATGGGTTATCAAAAAGCCTTTGCAGAAAGCCAGAGTCAGGAGCAGGCAGTAGACAGGGCTCTGACAACACAGCAAAGCAATTGATGGGTCAGTGTTGGGCCACAGGATCTCTGAAAGTGATCTGGCCAAACATTGCTAATTCATCCCTTCCCTCAATATACACAGAGCTTTCTTGATCTCTGTGAATAAAAACCCCTTTTTTCCTTGCTTGCCTGCAATAGAGAAAGTAGGAGAAAACAGATATAACACATGAATGTTTTGAGTTCATCCTAATTTGGATTTGTAAATGAAAACTGTTCTCCCTGTGTTTGGTAGATTCCCCTGCCTCCTCCTCCGGAAGGGTAGGTGATTCTGGGATGAAGAAGGATGTTGGAAATGGCATTAAATCATTTGGTTATTTCTCTGTTAGAATGTACTTCCACAGTTTACTGCATGTTTAATGTCGTTGCTCTTATACCTTCTTTTTATTCTTTTTCCTCCCTTATGCTGCCTCTCAGCACTGGAAAGCCCTATTTGATCAGGTATGTGAACTACTGATATATTCTCTCTGTCTTGTGAGCAAATAGCCTAACCTCTGGTTAATTTCCTCTGTACTGGCTTTCCCCTGCATTTAAAATACAGCCTAGAAGGAATGTGCTGCATGTTCCCAGTTCCCAGGATGCTGGTGTGCAAGTCATAATTATCACAGCTGTTTTGGGCCTCAGTTCCTCAGCTCCTCTTCGGAGTAGGCAGGGACAGGAGTGAGCCCATCCCTGGCGGCACAGGGGCTGAGCCAAGGTGCTGCAGGAGGTGCTCTGCTGCCAGTTGTGCTGTCCTTGCTTGTGGATTAAAGGATCTTCTATTCTTTCAGGCAAGCAGACTAAGACCTGTAAAACCAGCACTGTGTTCTTTGAAATGGCTCCCCAGCTACTAAACTGACTTCTGCAGGGTTACATCATCCAGGCAGGACCTGCTGCTTTAAACTTGCACAGGATAAGCAAAGAATCTGCTTCTATACCAAAGGCTGTGGTTCTGTCAGATAAATGCCTTGGGTCTGATCTGTAGCTGGCTGAAGTCAGCACAGCTCTGAAGAACTTTGAACTATAGCTGCTGAGATTTTGGGTTGTGGGTTCTAGTTTGTAAATTATGCTTTTAGCTGCTTTAACTGACACGTTTGCTTTGTGGTATCCCCTCCATCTGCTGGATTGCAATGTGTAGCAGCTATAAACAGAGAAATTTTTCTAGGGTTGATTTGCTTCTAAACTGCAGCACTCTCTTGATGTCACAAACTTTTGCGCTGTTGTGCGTGCATGTAAATGTCACCTTCTGTAAGGGAGCTCACTCTGACGCTGGCATCATCCTGGCAATAAAATTCGGATGGGATTTCATCCCTGCTTTATGAGGCAATAATCTTGCCTCTGTGTCTGGCTGAACTACAAAGCCAAAAGCTGTGGCGCAGCCTGCAAAAGGATGTCCTTGGTACCCTGGGGGTCCTGTTATCATTCAGCTATTAACTGGGGCTGCCTGTTCTGATGAGAGCTCATTTATACCCAGTTAGCCGTGACCAACTGCTAATCCACGTGTCTGGACTGCAGCAAGTTGGCTGTGGTACAGTCAGCTGGCAGTTGGGAGCTGGGTATTGTGATTGTTGATCACACCTAAATGGTGTGGTGTGTTTGAATTCACTGGGGCTCATAGGGGATGCTGCCACTGAAAAGGTGGATGCAAAATAAATTGCTTGTGGTCTGGCCTGAATGTTTTTTCCAGCCACTCTAAATGCTCCTGTCTCCAGCACTGGCCCTTATTTGGAGTCTTATTCTACAAGCATCCTTTGAAGTCATTGAGTCCTTGTGGGACGGGGCTGTTGGCTGGAAGCTACCTCAGGCTCAAAGAGAGGAATCTCTAATTTCCCATTGGACTTACTTGAATAATAGATGGGATTTTTTTCCTTCTTTTTTTTTTTTTCTTTTTAAGGGAAGGGAGAGTTTGACTGTTGGATGTACAGAACATTAGCCCAGTAACAATGGAACACGCTGTAAAGGCAAAACTTCAATAATTAGCTATGCTTCAATTAGAGCTGCAGTTGAATTTTAAACTTTGTCTGTAAGGCTTTATTATCAAAGAGAATGCAACCTGTGACAAACTACACTTAAGTCCTGAATAAATCAATAATGTCCTTGTTGCCTGTGGGCAAAGCTGACGTCTTTCTGAAGCATTATAACAGCAAAGCAGTGCAATTAGTCCTGCAGTGAATTGCAAGATGCTGTTTGTCATGGAACAAGGTTGCTATTTCCCAGCAGCAGTGTGCCAGGAGGAGAGGGGAATACTTTGTTTAGCTCTGATTTGCATCCATGTGAAACACGAGGACAGTATTAATAACTAGAGAAAGCTTGTGTGTTGGCACTGGGAACAGTTACAGCTCTCCCTGGGCATCAGGACCTGGCTGGGTGTGTACTCAGAGTGGAAATGGGTAGCCCAGGGTGCACCTGTATTTGTGACACATGGGCTGGGACTGGGAACCACCCTCTCAGTTGAGACACCTGGACCTCTGCTCTCACCACCTCCCAGGAGAGAAGGAGAAGTCTCTGGAGAAAGTGTAAAGAGTAGTCTGCAAGTGACTTGTTGCTGTTATATACTCCATCATCCCAGAAAGCTGAGAAGGAGAGGTCAGTGCACAAACACACATTTCTTTCCCCCCTTTGAGAGGGGAAAGAAATTACTATTAATGCTCTCTTGTTTGTTTGTTTTTTCTCTGAGGAGATATTTTTAAAACTTTTATTTAAGTTTACTGACAAAAAAAGCACCAGGTTTCTGTTTGGACATACAAAATTTAAAGGGTTTGGTTTTTTTATGATCCCATCCGCCCCCCCCCCCGCTTAAATTAAAAATTCAAAACTTCTTGATGGAAAAATTGCTGCTCAGCCATAAAGCAGTGCTTTTTGCTTGGTTATTTTAGGAGAGAGGACTGACTGACCATGTTTTCTGGAGGAATTTTTTATTTGTTTTGATCCAGCCCTAATCTGTCACACTGGGAACTGTCAGTGACTCAAGCCAAGATTTTCAGCCACTTGCAGATTGATTAATTTAAGAAGTAGAGGAACTTAAATTAGACAAAAAGTTAGACCCAGAACTGCTTCCTATGCTTTGAGGTTCAAAGAAGCTCCTCCCAGGACAAAATTCTGACTACACTGAATCAAGTACCAAAATTCCTCCTGGATTTAGTGGGCTCAGCACTTCACCCAAGAGTTTGGGAACAGACAGACTCACAGCTCTTCAGTGCTGCAGCCAGACAGTTACAGTTCAGCTGCTGCCTCATACTGTGCTTTCAAGATGTGGTTTTTATTACAAGGCCATGGCCCTCAGGCAGCTCTAACTCACTTTTATATGGGAACTTTTATAGGGATTCATACATTTATTTATTGTGCTCATAAACACCCTCCACCCCCACACACACATTAGCTCTGCATCTGCTGCCTTCTACAGAGCCTTCACCATTGCTGTGTGCTCTGTGCTGTCTCTGTGAAGAATCTGAGTTCTGAGCAGAGCAAGCTCTCTCCATCCCTCTGCAATCACTTGGGGTTTTCTTCATTTGTTCTTCAGTGGCCAAAGCCCCATTTTTTTGTTAATCTTCTGGTAAGGTTGAAAATGCAACAATCCCAGGAGTAGCTGCTGACAGTTTCATGCTTCTCTGTGCTAATAAGATCCGTTAATTGCCTTGCACTCAGACATGAGAACATCTCCCAGTCCTTGCTGAAGTCAAATTGCCTGATGGTTGGAGAGTGAGTCTGCAGATGAGTGTCCTGAGGGGAAGTTCCTGCTTTTCTATGTCCTCTCTAGGCCTCGGGTGCAGTTCTTTGCCTCCATGTCCCCAGTGCCCCTGCTTTGGCAATGATTGCAGCTCATTGGTGTTATACAGCCTGTGGCTGGGCTGGTTGAAAAGGGCTATCTAGGACAACAGTGGGTTTTTTTGGGACAAGCCTGCCTTTCTGAAGGTGGCTTTTAACCTTTTTAGATGCTAAGAGCTTGTATCATCTTCTCTGTTTCCCCATCCCTGTGGCTGCTGAGATTTTGAGGGTGAATTAGCATTATCAGCCCTCATCGTGGAGTTCGAACTTCTCACCCATACCCTAGTTTGTAGTCATGACAACAAACTTGTCTTAAATAGACTCACACAAAACTCTCCAAAAAGACCCTCTTCACTAGCTCAACACCTTGATCCTATTGCTTGTCAATCCAGGCTGTGTTTTTGTTGCAGCTGCTTTAGAAATCCTAGATTCCTCCCTGAGACTTGTATGTGGGTGTGATGGCAACAGATGAACAGAGTTTATGGGGAATGCAGAGAGATGCCAAGTTACCCAGTCTGTGTAGGCAGCTAATGGAAAACTTGAGCTCAGAAACAAGGCTGTAGAGATAGACATGCACTTGCCAGGAAGAGTTCATTTGCTGACACTACCAGCAGTGGGTGCAGCTGAACCTGCTCCGCCATGGTCTCATAAAACATTAAAATATGCTTTAAAAGATGCTGACTTTGCAGCTGCCTTAAATCCAGGGCTGGTTCCTGCACAACTGAAATTGTAGCGCACTCCATAAAATTGGGGCAGCTATTATCATGGCCGGTAACTGAGGAAGGGAATTATTTTGAACTTAATGATCTTTTATGTTAACGGTCCCTTTTCTCTGGGTAGCCTTTGGCGCAGGCAGGCAGAGCTAGTTCCCACACTGCAAAAGAAATTCCAGTTTATTTACTGGGGCACTGTTGAGCTAAACATGACCTTTCACTCTGAAAAATTTCCCTGCCTATTGTTACTGGCAAACCCCTGCTAGCTGTGACTGCAAGACCTCTCCAGGCAGGTTTCACTGAGCTCTAGGCAGTGGTTTGTGGCTTGAGATTTCATCTCTTTCTCTAGAAAGCAACTTGTGTCTCACTGCTGGTTTGTTGGATTACTGGGAACAGGTGGAGCAAAAACTGTAATGTAAAGAATAGGAAATTATGGCAGTGATAGCAGCAGTATAGGTGGGGGGGGGTTTGAGCCCAGAATTGTGTGTAATCTCCAAGTCCTTGCCTGAATTTTGAACTACTGCTGCCTTTTTAGTGTTCTTTGGAACATCTGTCCGCATTTAAATTGGAGTGGTGCTGCGGATAGGAGGCTATGGTGCAATTAGGAAATAGTCATCAACTTGTTACTTCATCTGCTGAGGTGACTGGGGAATCAGAGGTGCTGGTGGGAAGACTGTCCATGGTAATAACAGATTAGCATCCAGACCCCAAACCAGCATCTGCCTTGTCTGCCATATCAGATACTTTTGAGGGTGTGACAAGAAATGTGTCGCCTTCTCCCCCTCCGCCAAGCTGTGCAATTGTAAAAGGGAGAGATATTTTAAAATCTACGAGGGTCTCTTGGCAATGCACAGAGGGGGTTCTGCATCTGCCCCACGCCTTGAAGCCTAATCTCATTTACAGTTGTCAGCGTGGGCTGCTGGAGGAGATGAAAGGCAGAGGACAAGGAGGGAGAACAGATTAGTCTTGAGCAGAGGGCACCGG